GAGGGCCCAGGCCTGCTAAACAACAATGACAACTGCAAACAAAAAATAGCCTGGCATTGTGGTGGGTGCCTGTAGTCCCAGTTACTTAAGAGGCTGAGGCAAGAGAATCACTTAAGCTCAAGGTTTCTGTGAGGTGTGATGCCACGGCACGCTACCCAGGGTGACATAATGAGACTTTGTCTGAAAGAGAGAGAGAGAGAAGCCTTTGACTAAGGGAGACTATTGTCTTCATTTCCCTAGGGAAACTGAGACTTGGAGAGGGTAGATGACTTGCACAAATGCATCCAACCAGAATTAGCAAAGCTGGGGTTTCAGCCCTGCAAAGCCACCTCTGACCAGAGGAGAGAGAAGATCTTCTATGCTCCTACCAGCCCCCTGTTCAGAAGATGACCCCAAGGGGATGCAAACATTACCAGGCATGGCTGAACCTCACAAGAACCCTTCTATTACAGTCCCGAAGATGTTTTTCAGGCAGAAAATAGAACCCAAAAGCCTGGGCCCAGTGCCCTGGAATCTGAAACTCAAGGCCTGTTTGGCTGAAAAATTCATGAGCCCAAAAGCTTCAGTGCGGTTAGAGAACAGAGCGCTCTGTGTGTCCCAGCTTTGCCCCGCCTACCCTGCCTCAAGTGCAACCTCCCTGTCCCCAGAGGTGGTGGTAGCTTTGTCCCAGTTCCTTCTTGCAGGCTCCCCCAGCGTCCCTCTGGGACCCAGCTTTTAGGCCCCCATTATCTATCTATCTATCTATCTATCTATCTATCTATCTATCGTGTTTCCCCAAAGATAAGACCTACCCAAAAAATAAGCCCTAGTAGGATTTCTAAAAATTAGAAATTTCAGGGCTTAGTTTAGATAATCTAAAGCATTTGTTAAATATAAGCCCTACCCTGATAATAAGACCTAGTGATGGGCGTGGCTATGCGGCTCGGAGCAGTGAGGAAGACTGGAATACTTTTTTTTTTTTTGAGACAGAACCTCAAGCTCTGTCCTGGGTAGAGTGCTGTGACATCACAGCTGACAGCAACCTCCAACTCCTGGGCTCAAATGATTCTCTTGCCTCCACTTCCCAAGTAGCTGAGACTACAGGCGCCCACCACAACACCCAGCTATTTTTTGGTTGCACCCGTTATTGTTGTTTGGTGGGCCTGGGCTGGATTCATACCCACCAGCTCAGGGGCATGTGGCTGGCGCTTTAGCCACTTGAGCCACAAGCGCCAAGCCGAGACTGGAATACCTTTTATCTGTCACAGCTCCTTTCTCCCAGCCATTCACACTTGTGGTAACCCCGGTTGCAGGCATCCTATTGCGCACAAGCTAACGGCTAGGGGAAAGGAGTTCACGCATCACTAGTGCCAGCCCCACCAACAAGGTTGGCTCCCTCTGTCAGGTTCCAGAAGTAGATGACTTAACTGTACTTGAATAAATGTAGATTGTTGTATCATACTTAATAAAAATAAGACATCCCAGGTGGCGCCCGTGGCTCAAAGGAATAGGGCACAGGCTCCGTAAGCTGGAGGTGGTGGGTTCAGATCCAGCCCTGGCCAAAAAACTAGAAAAAAAAAATCCCCTGAAAATAAGCCCTAGTGTGTCTTCTTGAGAAAAAATAAATATAAGATAGTGTCTTATTTTTGGGAAAACATGGTATCTATCTATCAATCATCTATTTATTTATTTTTGTTAGAGACAAGGTCTCACTCTGTTGCCCAGGCTGTAGTCCAGAAGCATGATTGAATCTTTTTTTTTTTTTTTTTTGAGACAGAGCCTTAAGCTGTCCCCCTGGGTAGAGTGCTGTGGCATCACGGTTCACAGCAACCTCCAACTCCTGGGCTCAAGCAAGTCTCCTGCCTCAGCCTCCCAAGTAGCTGGGACCACAGGCACCCGCCACAATGCCTGGCTATTTTTTTGGTTGCAGCCGTCATTGTTGTTTGGCGGGCCCAGGCTGGATTCAAACCCTCCACCTTAGGTGTATGTGGCTGGCGCCTTAGCCACTTGAGCCATAGGTGCCGAGCTAGCTTGAGGCTTTCTCTCAAAAAAAAAAAAAAAAATTTCAATATATGGTGGTGCCTGTTGCTCAGTGGGCAGGGTGCTGGCCCCATATGCCGAGGGTGGCGGGTTCAAATCCGGCCCCGGCCAAACCACAACAAAAAATACCTGGGCATTGTGGTGGGCGCCTGTATTCCCAGCTACTTGGGAGGCTGAGGCAAGGGAATCACCTAAGCCCAGGAGTTGGAGGTTGCTGTGAGCTGTGTGATGCCACAGCACTCTACTGGGGATGATAAAGTGAAACTCTGTCTCTACAAAAAAAAAAAAAATTCAATATAAAGGGCCTGTGGCTCAAAAAGATAGGGTGCCGGCCCCATATGCCAGAGGTAGCGGGTTCAAACCCAGGTCCAGCCAAAAAAAAAATTAAATATGAAGTACTTAATACTTCCTTCCTTCTCATTTCTTGCTGCTGGCTGTGTGAGTACTCATGCTCTCAGTGCACACCTTGTCTCCATGCCTCAGAAAATTAAGGAAATCAAGGACTTCCTGCTAACAGTCAGATGAAAGGATCCCAAGTCTGTCAAGATCAAGAAAAATAAGAATAAGGCCAGACACAGTGGCTCATGCCTGTCTGTAATCCTAGTACTCTAGGAGGCCAAGGAGGTGGATTGCTCGAGCTCAGGAGTTCCAGACCAGCCTGAGTAAGATCAAGACCCTGTCTCTAAATATAGCCAGGTGTTGTGGCAGGTGCCTGTGGTCCCAGCTTCTTGGGAGGCTGAGATAAGAGAATCACTTATGCCTAAGAGTTTGAGGTTGCTGTGAGCTGTGATGCCACAGCACTCTACCTAGGGTGACATAGTGAGACTCTGTCTCAAATAAATAAATAAATAAATAAAAATAGGAAAACTAGCTGGGCAATGTGGCTGGCACCTATAGTCCCAGCTGCTCAGGAGGCTGAGGCAAAAGGATCTCTTTAGCCCATGTGTTTGAGGTTGCTGTGAACTATTATGCCATAACACTCTACCCAGAGTGACAGAGTTTAAAAAAAAAAAAATTAACATACTCATATATTTAAAAAAACGGAAGTCACATATTCCCAAGCTAAACCAAACTGAGTGACCACAGTCTTGTTTCCTGTCTTGCAGAAGCTATCCCATCTTGTTCTATCAGTTACTACTGCACCTAAAGGCAACTACTGGTGGATATTCTGTTACCATTGGTTGATTAGCTATGCTTGTCCTAGAACTTTATGGAACAGTATCTGACCTCTTTCACGCAACATAATGCTTTTTGCAGGGAGATTAATAATCCATGTTATTTCCTGTATAATAATTCATTCTGTAGTGCTGAAGAGAATTCCATGGTTTGCTTAACCATTTGTAATATGCTCAGTCATTCACCTGTTATGGACATTTACAGTTTTTTGGCCATGATGAATAAACCTACTATAAAGTTGTTATGCACATTCATATAAGAATCTGTACAAATTTTTCCTTTTGCTTATACCTTTCTTGGATAAATACCTAGGAATGGAATGTCTTCATTAACTTTTCCAGAGACTGTCTGACTTTTCCCTAAATGGTTTTGCTATTTCACGTTCCCAGACACAGTATAGGAGAGCCACACTTACTCCAGATTCTCACTAATGCTTGGTATGGCCAGTCTTTTTTTTTTTGCATTTTTTGGCCAAAGCTGGGTTTGAACCCACCACCTCCAGCATATGAAGCCAGTGCCCTACTCCTTTAAGCCACAGGCACCACCCAGGCCAGTCTTTTTAATTTTAGTTATTTGAGTGTGGTCTCTCATTGACTTTTTTTTTTTTTTGTCACTTTGTCACCCTGGATAGAGTGCTATGTGATCACAGCTCACAGCAACTTCTAACTCTTGGTCTTAAGCAATTCTCTTGCCTCAGCCTCCTGAGTAGCTGGGACCACAGGCACTAACCACAATGCCTTGATATTTTTATTGCAGTTGCCACTGCTGTTTTAGCAGGCTGGGACTGGGTTTGAACCTGCCACTCTTGGTATATGGGGCTGGCATCCTATCTACAGGCAAGCCACAGGCGCTGCCCCATCATTGATGTTTTTGTTTGTTTGTTTGGAGACAGTTTCACCTTGTAGCCCTCCACAGAGTGCCTTAGAGTAATAGCTCACAGCTACCTCAAACACTTGAGCTCAAACTATTCTTTTGACTCAGCCTCCCAAGTAGCTAGGACTTATAGGCACCTACCATAAGGCCCGGCTCTTTTTAGAGAGGGGTCTCACTCTTGTTGAGATGGGTCTACAACTTCTGAACTCAGGCAATCTACCTGCCTCAACCTCCCAGAGTGTTAGGATTACAGGCATGAATCACCATGCCTGGCCCTGTTTTGTTTTGTTTTGTTTTAGAGACAGAGTCTCACTTTGTCACCCTTAGTAGAGTGCTGTGGCATCATAGCTCATAGCAACCTCCAGCCTTTGGGCTTAGGCAAGTCTCTTGCCTCAACCTTCAGAGTAACTGGGACTACAGGCACCCACCACAATGCCTGGCTATTTCTGGTTGGAGCCATCACTGTTGTTTGGTGGGCCCACGCTGGATTCGAACCCACCAGCTCTGGTGTATGTGGCTGGCACCCTAGCTGCTTCAGCCACAGGCGCCAAGGCCCTACCCTGTTTCATTTTGTTTGAGATGAAATCTCACTCTGTTGCCCAGGCTAAAGAGCCATGGTGCTAGCTTACCTAACACTAACCTCAATCTCCTGGGTTTAAGCCATCTTCCTTCCTCAGGCTCCCAAGTAGCTGGATCTACAGACCTACCCAGTTTTTCTATTTTTAGTAAAGATGGGGTCTAGCTCTTGCTCAGGCTGTTCTTGAACTCCTGAGCTTAAGCAATCTGCAGGCCTCTGTCTTCCAGAGTGCTAGGATTACAGGTGTGAAGGCATCACACCCAGACTCTCACTGGAGTTTTTTGGTTTTGTTTTTGTTTTTAAATACAGTCTTACCTTCTTGCTCTTGGCAGAGTGCCATATCATCACAGATCACAGCAACCTCTAACTCTTGGGCTTAAGTGATTCTCTTGCCTCAGTCTGCTGAGTAGCTGGGACTACAGGCGCCCACAACGCCCAGCAATTTTTACAAATTGAGTCTTGCTCTGACTGGGCTTGGTCTCCAACTTGTGAACTTAGGAGGTCCACCTGTTTCAGCCTCCCAGAGTGCTAGGATTACAGGCAAGAGCCATGGCGCCTGGCCTGTCATTGAAGTTTTAATTTGCATTTCCCTGCTGAGTTCATGCTTTTTTTTTTTTTTTTTTTTAGACAGAGCCTCAAGCTGTCCCCCTGGGTAGAGTGCCGTGGCATTACAGCTCACAGCAACCTCCAACTCCTGGGCTCAAGCGAGTCTCCTGCCTCAGCCTCCCAAGTAGCTGGGACCACAGGCGCCTGCCACAACGCCCGGCTATTTTTTGGTTGCAGCCAACATTGTTGTTTGGCGGGTCCGGGCTGGGGATTTGAACCCGCCACCTTAGGTGTACGTGGCTGGTGCCTTAGCCGGTTGAGCTATAGGCGCCGAGCCAGTTCATGCTTTTTATCCACTGCACTGTATTCCCTCCTGTGACCATTATAATTGGTTGTATCCACTCCTCTGTTGAAGGACACGTATATTTTTGCCCATTTTCCACAATAACTCTCAAGGCTGCAGGCAATACGCCTTGGTGCACACATACCATGCACATACATCTTTGATGATTTCTCCAGGGTGAATGCCAGAAAGGAATTGCACAGAGTGAACATAGTTTAGATTTACTCTTTCTGCCAGAAAATGTTCTGCCTGAAAGCATTTGCTCAAGCTATTTAATGTTATGAAACTCTTAAAATTCTTGCTAATCTGGTAATGGCATCTTTTGTCTGTTCTGTGGCACACGATCTGCACTCAGCATCCATATGATGAATAAATAAATGGACGAATGAATGAATGACAAACCGTCCTCTCCTTGACAGCTGCGCACACCAAGGAGGACAATACTGGAAACAAAGGTTGGGGTCCCAAACCCTCCCTAACTAGGACACGCCCCTGTCCGCTCGGAGCTCCCATTGGTGGCGGTGCGCGGAGGCGGGCCTGGAGTGCAGGGCGGGGCTGCGGCCCGGGGCGGGGCGCTGCAGCCCGCTGAGCCTCCCGCCCGCCCGGGCTGGGGTCTCTCTGGCTCGGACTCCCCTCCCCTCCCGCAGCGGCCATGGAGGACGACAGGAAGGACGGAGCCTACGGTAGGAGCCACCTCCAGCCTGGGCGCCTCTGCTGAGTCGTGGGTGGGGGGGGTTGGGGGCGGATCTCGAGCGAGGGGGAACCTCTGGTACACACCCGCGCTGCCGTCGGAGGTTCCCTATGTCCTCCGGCCCCTGCATTCTACGCTGTGCAAATCCTAATCCTCCTGCTCCAGCCAGATCGCTCCGCGTCTCCTCTCGAGAGCTCCAGCGCCCTGTCTGGCTGATGGGCCAGGGAGCACAGCGCATGCTCTGCCTGGGGAGGTCCCGTTATCTGGGTGGCTCGGATGGCGGGCGGGGGAGGGGAGGCGCGGCGACAGGCTCTCAGAAAAGGGACAGGACTCCGACCTCCCTAAAGCCCCCTCTTCTTCCAATCCCCTTTGTCTACTTCTTCCTGCCCACATCTCCTCTCCCAAAAGTAGTCATTTCAGGCTTTGGGCCCAATGGGGAAACTGAGGCAAGCCTTGACAGGCCGAATACCTGAGTGGGGGCCCACCATGTCTGGCCGGCTTTCTGGAAAGGGCGGAAACAAGGGCATCTCTGGTGAGGGGACAGTTCGGAAGCTGGAAACAATTGAGAAACTTTCCCCACCCTGTGCTAGGGATGCTGGCCACCTATTTGGTTGCCCACCCCCCAAAACTGAGAACCCTATACAGCCAACCTCTGCGAGCAGCACCCTTAGCTATTGACGTATGGTACAGGGCCGAGATACAGGCCCTCTCCTCCTCTGCACCCTACCAGTGGCTCTGCCTGGGGTTCCCACAATGGGAGGATGGTTTGGTTCTTTCTCTTCTTTATTTTGGGTTACCAGGACCCAACTTGGCCCACATGGCGTGGGACTTGTCACTCCCCCTTTGTGTGACAGGACTTCCTGGAAACTGTGAGACCCAAGAACCTTGGGGAGAGGGCCGGAAACTGCTCAAAAATAATAAAAAAAAACAAGTAGGCAAGAGCTGTGCCTGCCTCCCCCCAAGGACTGTGGGCTCAGAAGACTGCAGGGAGAGATAGATTAGACAATCTGGGACCTGCCCAGCCCAGTCAAGAAGACACTGAGACCTTGCTATCTCCTTGCTACCTCTCTTCCTGCTTCAAACTACCACCCAGACCTTTAGAGGGGCCTTTTTAGTCTTGGTTTTCACTCAAGCCCCGGATGCTAGGGCTGCCTGTACAGTGTGTCCCTTGGATGTATCTGGCTGTCTCTGTCCTGAGGATCTCAGCCTGGGGTCCTGGCCAGGCCCTGCCAGCTGTGGGATCTTTCTTCTCCCGGAGATCCAGCTGGTTTGAGGGTTGAAAGCAGAGTGGACAATGATGTTATTCACCCAGCCTTGAATCTGGCCATAGGAAGGGACTGAGCCATGGACTAAGTGAATGCTCCCAGGCCAAGCCGGATCCACACACAAGACTGGGGACCCCCACCTGACAGATCTTGTGCTGGTCTCTGGAACACAGCCAGTCAACAAATATTAATTGAACACTAAATAGGCAGAAATTGAGATACTGTGAACACAGCAGCAAGCAAAGGAGAAAAAAATCTAAGACTGCAGGAGGGGCCAGGGGAATATATATGTAATTTTAGGTTATTTTAAGTTGTGAGGCAAAAATCATGATACTGTATGTCTGTGTGTGGAAGAAACATCAGGATTATTTTAGCTTACTAAAGGCTGGAGGTTGAGCCAGCCGTGGGAAGATTTGGGGGAAGTGTGTTCCTTATAGCAAGAACAGGAAACAAACCACATAATTGCTTAATTAGTTTTTGCTATGAGGGCAGAGGGAATGAAGTGGCTTGACTGCTCTTATTAGGGGTCTTGTTTAACTCATAAGTAATTCATTCTCACTAAAACAAAAATCCTGGGGGCTTTGGGCTCCCCAGGAAATTCCTGACAGATTAGAGGAGCTTCTCTAATCTGGGAATGTGTTCAAGAGCGTCTCACATGCCCTTTCCTCCTGCCCTGATGGCTTCCTGTCAGTTATTCTGAATTCAAGAGGTGATATCAGAGGGATCCAGGCTCAAATCCTAACTCTGACACTTATGAGCTGTGTGGCCTTGAGTCAGTGACTTCTCTAAAACTATGTATCCTGTCTGTAGGGCTGGGTGAAGCATGATAACTGGTGAGAAGTATTTTGCATGGTGCCTGGCAAGCTCTATATGCTTAGGAGAGCTCTGAGGCTGTTTATACTAGGGACATGAATTTCCCATGTGCTGAAGGAGAAACAGCCCTCTCAGTCAAGACATAGATTTGAACTGGACCAGACAACAGGAAGCTCCCTCTCCATTAGAGACCGTATCTAAAGGAAACCAACAGCTTCAAAGGAAATGGGGAAATGGCTCTGGGCCCTGGCGGATGTCAGCAATGGGCACTGCCATTCTTCCCACACCCTCTTGGCAAGAATAGTGCACAAAAGGATTCTAGAATCTAAAACCATAGACTCTGACCAGGGAGGGAAAACCCTTGGGGGAAAGGTAGTGGTGCTTGTTTAAAAAGAAAGTTTCTTAGCTGCATTCACTAGAATTGATTTCAACCTGCAGTGGAACCCTGGAATCTGATTTAAAAAAAAAAAAAGGCTCCGCGCCTGTGGCTCAAGCC